ACACAAACAGTCTTTAGAGAACAACCTGTCGACAACGACCTTTTCTACAAAAACCCGTTCAAGCAACAATTTTATCAACAAAAATGTTACGGGTTCACAGGATTAAATGCATATCTCAACAAATTGTTTGATAATAAAAGCATATTTCAAAGAAGCGTCGCTTGTACGTAGACTGCTCAAAATTTGTAAATTTAGTCCTTCACGAGTGTGGAACAATCTTTAAGACCGAATCTGACAATAGACAGAAAATTGATGAAAAAACAAGGGGAAGAGGGAAAGAAGCTTTAAACACATTTATAAGAACAATAAAGGGCGATAATATCGTTAAATGATGAGAGTCTCTCAAGCACGTTTAACGCTTTTCAACCTTGCTTATCTAAATCTCTCCTCGCCATAAGGCCCCGAAGTTTTCCTTTCAGTAACAAGCCATGAATGATTTGCTATTTCATTAAAAATAAACTCAAACAACGGATTTTCTAACAATAACGCTTTCAGACAAATAGATATTTACTTTTAAAAACGCACGAGATAATCAGTTTAACGTTACAAAAAGGTCAACTAAGCCAAACAAAAGTGACAAGACAAATATGGATCAGCTCACACGGACTTTGAATTGTTTTCTAGGAATCGGAAACAAAGGCTGTTTGTTCCAATATTTTTAAAGCATTTTCCGTTCTTAGAGAAAGCCACCGGCAAAATTGTTTATACGAACGGGATATCGATGACAGTCTAAGACTAAGACGTACACTCTAACCGCTCAGGACATATCTGTTGTCTTGTTGTGAATCGATTGTGTTGTCAGGCGGAAATCAATCTACCAGTAGGTAATCGCTTCGACCGTTTACCCACCAGCTTTCACCATAATAGTTTGGTAGGTCTTCTTGAAACGGAACATCGCGAGGCCTTGCTGAGGCCGCCAGTTTGCTCGCAACACAAGAACGAAAGACTACGATATTTCTGCTCTTCCTGTGAAGCGTGTATTTGTCCTGTTTGCTTCGCCGAAGATCACCGAGGCCATGAGTTCGACGTTATTGAAAAGGCAGTGCAGGAGGATAAGAAATACATCATGTTGAACGTCGACACTATCAAGGAAAAGGCAAATTTGTTTCGAGAAGAGTTAAGAAAACTTGAGAAAACCTCTGAGGATGTGGAAATGATCATCGCTATCGCTAAACAGGAAGTGTCTGGGGCAGCTCAACACGTCATCAAAAAGACGCGACAGCAAGAAAAACAACTCTTAGAGTCCTTAGAAATGACGCGTAGGAAGAGAATAGAGCGAATTCACTCAGCAAAGCAAGAACTGGAATCTCTGGTAAAACAAATGAACCAAGCAGCTGAGTTTGCGGAAAATCTGGTGCAGAGTAGCTTGAATATTATACAGACCAAGAGAACTTTGAAGCAGAAATTTCAAGAGCTTTGTGGAGTTGAGATTTCAAGGCATCATCCGACAACATTTGTCAAATTTACCGCGGCATCCCAATAACACTTAAAACTAGGTTTTATTCAACTCACTGAGGAACCGGCAAAAGCCGCTAAATCAACTCTAGAAGGACTGGATCGAACTTTCCAGGCTGGTGTAGAAGCAGAGTTAACGTTGTGTTCAAAAACAGCAGAGGGAGAGACTAGTTACCAGGCTGATCTTAGCGATCAAGTTGAATGGCTGATAAAACCTACCGAAGATGTCACAAACGTGACTGTTCAAGCAGGAGAAGAAGGCAATCTTAGATTGAAGTTTACACCTAAAGTGCCTGGTGCCTACAGCGTTGAGGTGAAGATTAATGGCGAAAAGCTTCCGACCTGTCCGTTCAATTTGCCAGTGAAAGAACGTGAACTTGTCGTAGTCGGCGAATTGGACTTGAAGTTCAACCAAGGGCAGGAATTCAGTGGACCAAGTGGAATCGCCGTTAACAAGCAAGGCGACATAGCTGTTGTAGATAATATTGGACACTGTGTTTTTGTATTCAATAAAGAAGGGAACTGTTTGAAACAAATTGGAAAAGAAGGAGTAGATCCTGGACAATTCAAACATCCCACCGGAGTGTTATTTTTAAACGACCACGAAGTTCTTGTTACAGATTGTGCAAATAATAGAATACAACACATAAATATCCAGACAGGAACTGTTTTGAAAACCTTCGGAAAAAAAGACGAGGGAAAAGGACACTTTATGTCTCCATTTTCTGTGCACCTCGATCACGCAAACCGTTTAGTTGTCACTGAAATTTGCAACAATAGAGTTCAAGTAATGTCAAAAGAGGGCGAAGCTCTATTCACAATAGGAGACAGTGGTCCAGTAAAACTCAGCAAACCACACAGCTGCATTTCTTACAAAAACATTTTCCTGGTAACTGAAATAAACAATCACGTCGTAAAAGCATTTGATTCGTCAAAGACTTTCTTGTACAAGTTTGGCAAAAAAGGGAATCAAGACGGACAGTTCAACAAACCCTGTGGCATGTGTTTAGACGGCTCTGATAACCTTCTTGTTTGTGACTATCTCAATAACAGAGTTCAGCAATTTTCTTTGGACGGTCGCTTTACAGGCAAAACTACCGTTCCTTTAAAAGATCCACGTCGAATTGTAACAGCGCCAGATGGGCGTATACTAGTCACAAGCCGTACAGCTAAGAAAATATACATTCTGAGGTAAATGTGTTATAATTCTATGAATCATTCAAATGC